AACGTATTCTGCACTTGCGCACACGCATATGCGCAGTCGTAAAGGTTGATGCTAAAGCAAAGTTTAAAGTTTAAAGAAATTAAACATTTAGCAGTAGTAGCAATGAAAGCACAGGATAGGCAGTCACTCACAGGATAGCCCCCGGAACCGAAGAACTTCAATCTGGAACCATCATCTCGCAAACTGGAATCAAGGCATCCTTTCACCGGACTGCATGCATCCCTTGAAGGGGCTGGAAACCGCTCACTCACCAGCCGGGAAACCAGGAACTAGAACGGTTGAGCCAGGGCGACGCGAGATACTTATAGCAGAAGTAGGAATGACGTCATCTCACGCAACCAATCAGCTGTCGGCATGAATCGGCTTTTCAGATGACGTAACATTGTTTCGTTTTTGCATCTCAATTAGGTTGAAACAGTCCGTTCTCAATGCAAACAGTGGCAGCAAGAAAAGAAGTAGAAGTAACTACTATATTATATTAAAATAAGGATTAAACTAAATAAACATTTCAAGGAAGAGAGATGATGCATTAAAAGGTTTAAAAATAAGCTATATTTTCCAACAAAGGTCTTACGCGCACGCGTAAATGCCTATGCGCATGTGTCAACGCGGCGCATGCGCAGAAAGTTTTTAGCTTTGAGGTCTGGATTATAGATCATTCCGGATTATGGGTGTCCGAATTAATGACTTTTGACTGTAATTAAAACGGTAACCAATTTTTAATCTAATAGTTTTTATGTGTGCATATTTAATACAAAGAGCCAATAGGTTGTGCAAATAGCAATATATATATATAAGAAGCAAGGTAGTTAGTACAATACTGTATGAGCAATTTGGTCTAGATAACATTTTGCGCAATATACTGCAAAATAAGTAAATTAAAAATTGTAGTAAGCTCACCTAAAAGTTACCAGGAGCTGTGGCTCCAAAAAGTTCAACACGTTTTAAGAAACAATGTCATTTAAAGGTGAAAAATATGCTACACAAGAAAGAAAAAAAAACACAGTAAAATACTCAGCGTTGGAAACTAGTAATGGCAAAAAATACAGTAAAATATTTATGAACGTGCCATTTGAAAAATTAATACATATGAAAATCAAACCAAGTAACATGTAAAACATAAAACAAACAAAATCAGATAAAAATAGAAAGCGGAAAATGGTAAATTAGCTGAACTCGACTTCCAAACTGGCTTTTCAAGGGAAATATCTGATTTGAACGTAGAATCAAGCTAACCTCATTACACGTTTCACTGAATATATATATATAATTGAAAAAGAAATGTAAAGCTAACTAGTAATGAGACGCAAGACCTATTTGGTCTCAAAAAATTTTTTTGCGCATAATGCTGCAAAAAGGTACGAAATAATAATAGGTAGAAACATTGCAGCGATCTTGTTAAAAAGTTACCAGGAGCTGTAGCTCCACGAAATAGTTCAACGCTGTATTACTAAAATATGAACTAAGAAGAATTTTTTTTAAAAGTTTATGTGGAAAAACTGGATAAAAACTGTAAACACGCGAAAAAAACCGTTAAAATTAATGTTGGAAGACATGCGAATGCATGAAAAATATATCTGACGTTTGTGATATGTGAAAAGTTAATACACATAAAAAATAGATTGATGGAAAAAGTATATGAAAAGTTAATACACATAAAAAAAATATATCAAAACATAAAATGCAAAAATTATAATGAAAACATAAATTGCAAAAATACAAAAATACAATAATTACAAATCGGAAAATGGTAAATTAACCCACTCGTACCCTCTGCCAGGCTTTTCAAGGGAAAAATGACTGAGTGTCGAACTAGGCTAAATACCATTACATGTTTCGCCGAAGCAGACCATTGAAGCTCTTGTTTGATGCGAAAATTTTTTTATAAAACTTGAATAGTCCCGAATAAATCTTTTTTGGAGCTTCACTGCTCTGTTCCTTTTTCCCGACGCGTTAGCTGAAAAACACATTAGGATGTTAAGAATGAAATACTCCGAGCAGTGTAAAATTTAAATAAATAGCGGTCTGCTATTAGTCAAAAAATTACAAAAACGTACGGGCTGGTCCTGGACAGCTTAAAAAAGATAGAACTTTTATAAAGAGAATGGTGCTGTAATCAAATTAATAAGCAATTAAATTTGCAAGAAAACAAACATGGTTGGCTTATTAGGACCAAAAAAACACAGACAAAAGAAACGAAAAAACTGACCTGGGAGGTGCCGTCCTTTGCATCGTGAAAAAATTTGAAAAGGGTGCAAATCCCCTCCGTGTCCTACCAACCTTCCTTCTCATCGTGTGACGTAGGTGGGAGAAACAATTAAAACTGCATAGGCCAATGGGCTGAGATTGTAGTTTTGGCGGGAACTCCTGTTCCCCCCCTTTTTTTATAGAGGGTGTGACAGACGTGAAAAGACAGGGAAAGAACTCAAAATGGCGTCAGTCAAGTTGTTAGAAGAACAAAACTGCTACAAACAAAACTGAAAATGGCTAATTCAGCTAAAATTACTTTTTTTTGACCACAAAAAAAAAAAAAAAAAAAAAAAAAAAAAGAGAGTAAATTGGGGGGGGAAAGAAAAATTTGTTAATAAAAGTCGTGATTCTTCAAGCTAGTGGGCGGTCAAGCTACTATGAAAAATGAAAAGGCCCGATTTGTTAATAAAAGTAGAATTTGGCCATCTAAGTAATTTAAAACTATTAAAACAATAGTACTAAAGTATAGTGCCAAAGTCTTTGAAGGAAAGAAAATGTATTTACCAGAATAATCTGTACATTTATACAATTTATATATATATGTATGTATGTTTAATATTTCTATTGAGAAATTGAAAAATAATCATTGTAAAATGTATTAGTGGTACTAATGTTTTTCAGTTTTTTTTTATATGGTATGCGTAATTCAAAAGGTTGAGAACCGCTGCTTTAGAGCCTTGATTATTCGCTCTTTTCATTGCTCCTCCTCTAGCCATGGATCTGATTCCTATGAAATCTTTATTATTTGCTCTTTTTCATCGCTTCGGCATGCCTGCTGTAGCCACAAATCTGACTTCTGCATAGTCTTGATTATTTTCTCTTTGCACTTTCTCGGAACTATTCCTTTGAGTTTCATTTTGATTCTCTGAATACTGTGTCATTTTATAACTGTATGCATTAGGTATTACCTTTTTCTACAATGTTATTGTAATATTTATATGTAATTATAAATTATAATATTTTTATTTATTTACTTATTTTATTAACGTCTTGTACTCAAGAGCTGTGAATTTCTCTTTAATCTTCTTTAGAATTAGTATATATTTATAAACATGAATTTTTCCATCTAATATATTTTTTCAAAATTGCAGAACAAAATGTGGACTCTACCACAAAGAAGAAACTCGAGTGATATTTGGTATCATTTTGTCAAATTAGATAAAAAAAATAAAAAATGCCAATATTGTCAGCAGACAATTTCCTTCTGTTCTTTGGAATCTGTCTCTAGTCTAAAAGTTTATTTTTTATACTGTGCTTTGTAGTAGCAACAAAATACAAGGTAATGTAGTAATAAAATAATATAAACTTTAACAAAAGTTAGTTTTCATTATTTTTTAACTTTTCATTTTGATTGAGTTGATTTTGCTGATTCCACTCCTTGTTAGATTCTTTCTTCTTTCTTTCCATCTTTGCACACCGCTCTCGATCCATGCCAGTTCTGAGCACAATCATCAAGGTCATTGTTAGTGAGCGGTGAATTGTTAAAAACTGATTCACTTCAGTGAGCGAACGGTTCTCATGTGATCCCTTAAAGGAGTGTTTTTGCACATCTGGGTTTGGGTATATTTAAAGGTGCCCCTTGGATTATCGCTAAGTTGGGTAACCTGAGTATTTGAATGTTATGGGAATCCTATTAGCACATAATTGGTTACGTGATTACGGTGAATTTGACTGATGGGAAAAGATGTGTATGGGCTTGTTTGTGTATTGGATGTTGGTTAGGAAGTATGTAGGTTATGTTGGGGTGTAAGCAGTAAAATCGCCGAATGTAGTAAGATTGATTTGAAGTTTCTGTATGATTTGGAACGAAAGGGAAAAAATCATTAATTGACTGGTGTATAAATGAAGGTTTACTTAGTAGCCTTTGTGAATTTCCTGTTTGTACAAAGGAAATGCGTATGGTCGAACGTCGGAGGATACCGGCACTAGGGAGGATATTTTTTACTCATATTTTTGTGAATTTATGTGGCAACACCAGTATGCAGCTTCGAGTTCAAATAATTTTAGGAAGTTTTTGGATGCTGTTAAGGAATTATGTTTGGCTGACGACGTGGAAATCTCTAAATAAGGTAAGTGGGTATTTCCTTTATGTAGTGCTTAGATGCTTTAAGATGAATTTCATTTTATATGTTATTTCATTGTTTGATTTAAAATGTAATTTATTGAGATTATATATTTTTGTTTGGCTTTAGTTAGAATTAGCTGCTTCTTTGACTTTTTAAGTGAAAATATATCGATGTGTACATAGACAAAAGCAATGGAGTTCACAATGCCAAGTTTGTGCAATTATCTGATGTTTTTTCAAGTGAAAATAGGTCAGTATATACATGGATACTGAGTCTGTGCAATTCTTTGACATGTTATTTTGGCTTTGTGTGTAAAAATCGCCGCTACACGAAGCCAAAATAACATGTCAAAGAATTGCACAATCTCGGTGTCTATGTACTGCCAAAAATCATCAATTTTTGCCATGGGTCACCCATAAATATATTTTGCCCACATCTGTAAATGATAAATTCATTAAATTTAAATTTTTCTGCAGGGTGAAACAGTAATTTATTGTAATAAATGTTTTGCAAATTTTTAGAGCAGAGGCAAATTTTAAATCTAGTTTAAAAAAAATTGTAAACTTTATGCATAGTAAATAGAGTAGAGAGTTCTTATTTACTGTGCATAAAGTTATTAAGTCTATTATGAATTTTTATAAAATAATTTTATTAATTTTTTGTATTGTAAATTTTCTTCTATAGGGCTCTGTGCATTATTGGGCGAACATTTTTGTGAATCGTTATTATAATTTTACTGGACTAAGAGCTGGAATATTTGAATCGGTATGATATATTTTTAAATTGTACAGATTTCTTTTAATTGCATATAAATGTTATAACTATAAATTGTGAATACTATTTCAGCATGAATAAGTTTTTTATTCCTAACTACAGAAATTCTACAAAAGACTAGTCTGCTGCTTTTTGAAAAACTAATTATTTCAGGAATAATTATTTTGTTATAATGTAGAGGTAATTTATAGACTTGTAAGGATTGAGAATGGAAATAAAGATATAGTAATTATCAGAACTGGAAGCTAATTAAATATTAACTGTAAAAATAAGACTGTTGTCAGGGCAAGCAATAACAAATAGCCAATTATAGTGCATGCAGAGAGCTCCTAAAGCATCCATAGATCCATTAAACCCCTAACCCCTTCATGATTCCAGCTATTGTTATGGCTTGTCATGCAAATAACAAAATCAACTGCCTACTCAAGATCCAAACAGACCTTATTAATCTGTAAAGTGTAATTGATTATGTAATTTTTCCAAGAATTAGACATTTGTTTATTTCGGTACTTTTCCATTATATTGGCACCATGAAAAAACACTCTTAAAATGTGTAGCTACGTGCCGAAGATAGCAACAATGTGATCAGCTAAGTCATCTTGGTGTTATGAAGGAAGTTGAGGCAAATATTTATGTGTTATGATTTGCAGCCTTTTTTAAGAGCTGCACAAAGCATAATTTGATATATGATTTTCTTTGTATACATTATTTACTAAAAGCATTATGTATATACTGTTACGAATTTGGTATTTAAAAAGCTAATGTTAGTTCAATTATAAATTAAATGGTTTTATTTCTCGCGCAGTGCAGCGCGTGACGAATATTAAAAGAGAGCTAAGCCGGAAAATTGAAAATACAAGAGCGCGTGCATTAAATAAATAAATATCTCTTTTTGATTTCGAGAAAGTACTGGAAAATTCTAGCGCGTGATTTTAAAATCTTATAAAAGGAGGAAAACATCTCAGTTTGTAGTAGTTGCTTAGTTTGTTGTTGTTTAGAAAACTACTGTTGTTGATTGTAGCGAATTCGCGGATTAGCGTTCTTTAGCTGTTTTGAATTACGTTCTATTGGACATTTGAGTAGTTAAAAGATAACTACTGTGAGATATTGTAATACTGCATGATAATTTGAGAAAATTTAAGCATTTTTGTTGTGATAATAATAAATTTTTGTTCATTTTTCATCGGACTTGTGCATTCATTTCATAACGAACCCGTACGCACGCAACAATTTTTGGTGTCAGGAAGTGGGGTTTTGAATGCCAATAACAAGAGCGATGGAAGAACAATTCAGGCAAATGATGACTGCATTTGCTGCTTTCCAAGAAAAGATGGAAGGAGCCGTCAACTCCGTTAAAGAAGAAATTAAAGGGGACAGAATGAAATTGGGCCAAGGAATCCGTTAAGGAAGAAATGAAAGGCCATTCAAAAGAAAGAAATGAAGGCTGGTCAATTAACTTTTAAAGACGAAATAAAAGTTGTTAAGGAATCTGTTAAAGAAGAAATAAAAGCTGTTCAAGTCAAGATTGAAGAAAGTCAATGCGAAATGAAAAGAGAAATTGCCTGCATAATAGAAACCAAATTCGATGCTATGGAAGGCAGAATAGATGTGGTTGAGAATAAAGTGGGACAAATTGAGGAAAATGTTTCTTCTGTTAAAGAAGAAATAGAAGAAAGAGTTTGTTCGTTCAGAAACAATCGAACAACAAATTGATGACCAGGTTTCTGCGGTTGCCAAAGAACTGGAAACTTTAAAGAAATTCGTAGCGACGGCAGGGAGCAAGAGTGATGATTTTAAATTCTTACCGATGCCTGCTCGTCCATCTCTGAAGCTATCCACATATGATGGGAAGACATCCTGGCAAGTGTATAAGACCCAGTTTTCTATCGTGGCGGATGCGAATGGATGGGATTCCCAAGCTAAGGCCTGTCATCTCGCCGCCGCTTCTCTGAGAGCAGACGCAGCGGATATCCTGCAGACGCTTCCCGAAAACAAAAGGTTAGATTTCGAAGCTCTGTCCGGCGCCTTGGAGTTGCGCTTTGGGAGAAAAAGTGTTTAAAAGACTACAGCAGGCTCCAATTAAAATCTCGTCAACAGAAGCCTACCGAAACACTTCAGGAGCTCGCAGCGGATGTTGAAAGGCTGTCCCACCTCGCCTTTTCGGAATGCCTGACAGAAACAAGGGAAATCCTGTCCTTGCAATACTTTATCGACGGCATCCGAGATACTGAAATACAGAAAGCTCTACGAATGGCGGATGTAAAAGATTTAAAAAGTGCTCTAGTGTACGCCATGAAATTTGAGGCAGCCCAGCAAGCCACTCGTCGAGACCGCCACCCAATCAGAGCTGCTCAAGTCCAGCAGCCAGGGGATCAAGTCACCGCTCGACTTGACGATTTAACTAGACAACTGAATGCCTTGAGACGGAATATTGGTGAGAAGAAACCGACCGTTAAGTGCTGGAACTGCGGTGCTGAAGGTCACATACGACGAAACTGCAAAACACCCCAGGGTACTGATGTTAAGACCGCTTCTAACAAGCAGCAGGGAAACTAATTAGTGGCCATCTCGCGGGGCGGAGGTTGCCAGATAATGAAAAGCCCCCGTTTAAAGTGCTTCAGATTTCTGCAGTGAGAGGCGGCAGCAATGGACTTTTCATAATAGGACATATTAATGGAGTCCCGTGCAATATGACTATAGATACAGGAGCCAACGTCACCATCATCCGAAAAGATTTGGCTCAACAACTAGGAAACAAACTTATCTGGACGCCGCCCTGCGTTACCCTCCAGACTGTGTCCAGTGAGAAGATCGACATCGACGGAAAAGTAAATGTTAACATCACGTTTGGAAGTGCCGCTTACCATCACACGGCATATGTAGCAGAGATCACTGATTCTTGCATACTCGGATTGGACTTTCTAAGGAAATACAATTTTTCCTTGGATTTTAAAAATAACGAATTGCATTCTACATCTGAGGACATAGCGTTATTTCTCGTTAATGATGAAGAAGTTAAATCTGTCCATAAAATCATAGCACAAGACTATATTACAATACCGGCAAGAACAGAAATTTTACTTCCTGGATCCATAGCCGAAAATAGAAATTTCCGCTACGGCATCATAGAATATCCCAATAACTGTAATATCCCAAAAGGAGTATTAGTAGCCTCAACACTCGTCGACCTATCCAGAACGGTTATCCCGGTGAGAGTCGCCAATGTAACTGAAAAGTCGAGAGTTATTAAGAAAGGTGAAGTGGTTGCGACATGTACTCCAGTAACCAGCGTTGAAAGAAAGAGTAACATCCCAGAATCCGTGTCCTCAGAGAGCATTACATCGGAGTTATTGCAGAATGCACAATTAAACGATAAGGAGAAAAATGCTGCCGATCACGTCATTAAAGATCTTCAAGTTGTTTTCTCCCGCTCGTCTTCTGACGTGGGTCGAACTAGTTTGACACAACATAGAATAGATACTGGTGATCATCCCCCGATCAAGCAACATCCTAGACGTCTACCGTTTGCAAAACAGGAAGAGGTGCGAACACTGTTAAAGATATGGAAGAAGGCGATGTCATCGAGCCTTCAGCGAGTCCATGGGCATCTCCCATCGTTCTCGTCAGAAAGAAAGACGGCTCAACAAGATTTTGCGTTGACTATCGCCGGTTGAATGAGGTTACGAAGAAAGACAGTTACCCTCTTCCTAGAATTGATGACATTCTAGACACTCTTTCTGGAAGCAAGTGGTTCTCAACACTTGATTTAAAGAGTGGGTACTGGCAGGTAGAAATCCATCCTGATGACCGAGAAAAGACGGCATTTACTACGGGACAAGGACTTTGGCAGTTCAAAGTGATGCCGTTTGGACTGTGTAATGCGCCGGCAACATTCGAACGTCTTATGGAGACTGTTTTGAAAGGCCTTTCCTACGAAGCCTGTCTGATATACCTGGATGATATCATCATCGTCGGAAAGAGTTTTGAAGAGCATCTAGAAAATCTTAGAAAGGTGCTTCAGAAACTGAAAGAGGCCAATCTGAAGCTGACTCCCGCTAAATGCAAATTGTTTCGAAAGGAAGTGACTTACCTGGGACATGTCATCTCTGCAGAAGGTGTGCGCACGGATCCTGAAAAGGTATCAGCGGTTAAATCCTGGACGCGTCCCGAAAATGTCCATCAGCTGAGAAGCTTCCTAGGGCTTTGCATCTACTATAGGAGATTTGTGAAGAACTTTTCTTCCATCGCAAGACCACTTCACAAGCTGACAGAGAGCAAGCAAAGATTCTTGTGGACAAAGGAATGCGAGGATGCATTTAACAACTTAAAGGAAGCTTTAACATCTGCTCCAATCCTGACGTATCCTCAGCTCGACAGACAATTTATTCTCGACACCGACGCGAGCAATGAAAGTGTCGGTGCTGTTTTGTCCCAAGAAATAGACGGCCAAGAACGGGTAGTAGCTTACTGGAGCAAGTGCCTGTCTAAACAGGAGAGGAAATTAGTGTGTTGCAGAAGAAACACAGAGTCGAAACCGTAGAACAGTGAGGAAACAGTTGCTTGCCATAGTCAAAACCGTAGAACATTTCCATCATTATCTATACGGGAGAAAATTCCTGCTCCGCACGGACCATGCATCATTGGCCTGGCTTTTTAAATTTCAAAAATCCTGAGGGTCAAATAGCCAGGTGGATACAGAGACATCCAAGAATATGACATCACTATCCGTCATCGTAAGGGATCATCACACGGAAACGCCGACGCCCTGTCTAGAAGACCTTGCCAAGAGAGCTGCCGGTGATATTGTTTCCAGGGTGGAAGCGAAATACGAGCTGCTGACTCCGGTCGCAAGACAAATTACAACATCAACATCGGCTGATCGAGACCCGTGGAGTGATGATGAAAGTCAGGAGAAGACCAGCTGGAAGACCGTCGACATTAAAACCCATACTTGATTTAATAGGAGTCATCAAACAGGAAACCTACATGGC